TATTTGGGAGTCCACTTAGACACCAAATTGAACTGGAAAAAACATCTTGAAATAAAAAGATCTAAATTCCATGCCTCTTACTGGGCATGTAGGAGAGCCATGAGCAAATCCGGGGGCATCGAGTTAAACACTGCCCTATGGATATACAAGGCGGTACTAGTACCGAACTTAACATATGCTGCTGTTGTCTGGTGGCCTAGAGTGGAAAAGACGGAGTCAAAGAACCTACTAAAAAGCCTGCAAGGTAACTACCTGAGAGCTGCAGTAGGGGCTATGAGAACGACACTAACGGAGGCGTTGGAGGTGGCGCTTTGCATCCCACCTCTAAGTCTGACAATCATCAGTGCTGCCAGACTCACAGCATACAGGCTAAGATGTCAGGGGGGGTGGAAACAATTCGGGTCGGGCCACACCAGACTCGGGTTTCTCCACAAATCCCCTTTTATCTATAAACAAGACAGAATATCCAGAAAGTACCAGGTGGAAAAAGCGTTTTTTATAAACCTAACCGCCAGGGCAGACTAGAAAAATAAAAATCTTCAGATCCAACCGGGCGAACATGCATGGTTCACTGATGGATCTGGAGCAAACGGCTGCTTTGGAGCAGGCATTTACAGTCCGGGATCCAATCACAGAGAGTTTTTCTCCCTAGGTAAGTTGGCCACGGTCTTTCAAGCGGAAGTCCTGGCCATCCTGGAATGCGCAAGACTCCTACTCTTAAGGGAGACAAAAACTAGGAGGATCAACATCTATATAGATAGCAAAGCAGCCATAGGAGTTCTCGCTAAGACCACCACTGAATCATCAGTGGTTTGGGACTGTATGCAAGCTCTAAATGAACTGGGCAAAAGCAACAAAATCACGCTAATCTGGGTACCTGGCCATCAAGGTATCCAAGGCAATGAAGTTGCTGATAATCTGGCAAAACTGGGTACCCTAGAGGAACCAGCCTGCCAGAAGGTTGGAGTACCCTTTGCTGTAGGGAAAAACTACATCAAGGACTGGCTGAAGCAGGAGCATAAAGCATCTTGGCAGAAACTAAAGAGCTGCCGCCAAGCTAAAGACCTGATGACTCAGCCGTTGCCAGGTAGGACAAAGGAACTACTGACAATGAGTAAGTACAAACAAAGATTGAGTATCGGTCTACTCACAGGGCATTGGGCCTTTAAGGCACATTTATACAACCTAGGCCTAGTTGAGGAGAGTAGTTGCAGATTTTGCAAGGAGGAAAAAGAAGACAGCGTGCACATACTGTGCCGCTGCNCTTCACTAGTACTCAAGAGGTTCAGATTCTTAGGCTCCATGTTTGTGGAGCCTGAGAACCTGAAAAGATTCAAAATCGGCCATCTGTGCAGCCTGGCAGCAAATGCCGGGCTAAATCAGTATGGTCGTTAAATAACCAGCGGGAGTCGCAGAGGATCATGAGATCTAGGTGACACTAAGGGTCTTGATAGCCCCCCGCTCATTCTTATTTATCTATCTAACTATGACAAAAAACTTCTCCGGGGTGTTCCACCCCACAGCCGAGCCCACCCCCGGAAGCTCGACTAAGTCTTGTTTCCCGACAAATTAGCCGGACAGTCAAAGCAAAAGTGCCCCTTCTTTCCGCACTTCCAGCATTCCCTCTCTCCGCCGTTCTTTTTAGTCACAGCCTTCTCTCCCTCCTCACGCCTGTCTTCGGCCTTTCCTCTTTTCCATTTTCCATAAGAAGACCGTTTAAAATCCTTCCCGTCTCGCCCCTTATCTCCTCCCCCTTCAAAGCTACCTTCCTGAAGTACTTTTACCGCCCTCGCCCGCTCAACCGCGACTCGTAGTGATACAAAGAGAAATTAACGCGACTCGTATGCGTATAACACGTAAACTTGAAAAGGAAAAACAGAAAATGAATCAAATGATACCACTTTTTAATGACTAATCTCAAGAATATATTGACAAGAACCATAAACAGAATACTGTTATAGAAAAAAATAAACCAATATCAAATAATATTCTTCCAATAAAAGTAAAAAAATTATCTGAAAATAATTTAAACGATATCAATGATGTCATCTTTAATGTTAATACTAATTTTAGTGTTAAATACTAATTGTGACAATAGCGATAATTGCGATAGCATCATATTTAAGGAAAATAAGAATACTGATTAGGAGCAGCAACTTTCACATAAAGATCAGCAGTGCAAATTTTTAGAAAGACGGCGGAAAAGACACCAGCAATAGTACAAAGAAAATTCAGCAACTATTTGTGCTAAACAGCGTATAAAATACACAGATGTAGAATACAAAGAAAAGATAAACACTAGAAAACGAAAGCGATATGAAGAAAATATAGAAAATAATCGTGCTAAACGGCGTAAATGATATGAACAAACTGTACAATCTACTTGTTTAGAACAACATCGTAAATGAAACCAGCAATGGTATATAAAAAATTCGGCTACTATTTGTGCTAAAAAGCGTACGAAATATAGAGATTTAGAATACAAAGCAAAAGAAAACGTTAGAAGTCTATTTGCAAAATCTGTATTTTTAAGAAAAAATAGTAACAAAATAGCTGTAAAACTTATTAGAAAATATAATAGAATCCGTACATCAAATAATGTTATAAAAATTTGTGGTTCTAAAGAAAACTTTATTGCAAATATTTAAGAAAACTTAAAATTAAAGGGAATATCGAGAAAAGAATGGAAGCAGAAAAAATCGTACGTTAGTGTATTGTTGTTAGAAACAGTAACATTCGTGATATTTCTAAAATATTGTCTTTGCTTAAGAAAAAGTCAGAAATATGTTTGACTGTTTTTGCGGAATGTACCACAATTGATGAAAAATTACATGCATTGTGTGGAATATCCAGACACACAGCTTCGTGTGAAAATTATTTTCTTGATTCTACTTATCATCAAAAACATTTAGCAGAATCTTTGATGATGAATATGAAAGGACAAATTGTTAATGTGTTGCCCTTAATACAAGGACAAGCAACAATGTCGTAGTTGTGTAATAATTCATGCAAAACTGACGATCCATTTCTAATTTGTTATTATGAGAAACTTCTTCGAACAATAAATATATGTACTTTAAAGAACGTACCAAAATTGCTGGAAACTATTTTTAATTGTACTGTGAAAACTTCAGATACAAAATTAGGTCATGAGCACAGTTGCTATATTACTTCAAGTCTTTGTAAAGCAATGTGTATTTTACTTCAATTATTATCACCTCATTTTCCAAAAGTGAGAAATATGAGGCGTTTGATTTATCACCTTAAGAATGTTTATCAGAAGCTTGTAAATCTAGACAGAGCTTTAACTTGTGCTGATTTAGATACATTAAAGGACATTGTTACTTCAGCACAAGAAAAAGCAGATATATACAAACAGCAGCAACCTAGTACTGTTTTGAGTGACGACAATATCATTGCTAAATATCAAAATGCATTTAAAGCCTTGACTAAACGCTGTATGGATATACCACGATATGTTTGTGTATCATGTAAAAGACTTTGTTACAAAAAAAATATTAAAGAAATAAATACTGTTCAAAAACAAATAGACAGTCCACCTTGGAGAGATTTGATGGTTTATGTAAAAGAAAGGAAAATTGACGCACAATATGTGAATATTGTGTTCGAAAATTTTGCAGTGGTATTATGCCTGCGTATTGTATTTTAAATCATCTTTTCGTAGACAACGTGCCTGAAGTAATATCGTCTCTTAATTCATTTAAAATCATTCTTGTACAAAGAGCTAAAGCATTTCAAACTGTTGTTAAAATGGAAGCTGTTATAAACAAACAATTGCCACAAAGGCAAATGACACAAAAAATCAAAGGTAGAACGTTTCATTTACCACTCCCTTTACAAGAGACTTTAAATAAAATTTGTTATAATACTGATCCAATTAACATAAACCATGAATTGTATATTTTGATAAGAAGTATACCAACAAAATCGAACATTGTGTGGGAAGAAATGGTGAATGTCAAAAAAATATTTGACGCTTTGACATGGCTAGAAACAAATAATCCTTTATATTCTAAAATTAGTTTGCCAAATACTCACGAAGAACTGTGTTTAAACAAAGTAAATTTCAAATTTCAATTGCAAGAAACAGAACCTGAAATAGAAACCACATTTGATGAAAACGAATTATTAAAACTAAAAGACACAGAAAATAATGTACACGATAATAAAATAGCAGAACATCGTGATGCACTGCTAACACAAGTTACAAATAAAAATGATAGTTATTACGAGCAATACACTATTTATCCTTTATATGAAAAAAAATAAAATAAAAGTACGACAGCTTTATTTCAAGTGCTAAAAGTTCATGATTTACCGTTAGATAATCGTGAGAAATTATTGGATTTAATGTGTTTTCCAGATTTATTTTCCTTTGGTAAAAACGGACAACATGTAGCTAGAACAGTAAAACTTAATGACCATGAATTTATTAAATGTCGTTTGATGTCTAAACATCCACAATACAGATTAAATCAAAAATATTTATTTTTTTATTACACCATGCAAATGTTTGTCAGTTAAGTCGCGGAATTTATCACAAAATGAATGTAACAAACTTGCGATGTCGTTACACAGTTGCAGAATATTTAGAAGCAATGTCAAAAGAACTGTGAGAATCTAACTTGAGTACAATATTTTCTACATTAAGAAATACGGAACAATATTGGAGAAGACCAAGAAGTGATTTAAATTGCATGACGCAACATTATGGACCTGCGACGTGGTTTTTACCGTTAAGTCCAAGCGAATGGTTATGGAACGATTTAGGAGATTATATACGTGAGGTAAATGGGTGGCATAATTCTTTGTTAAGCACTTGTGTACTTGTTGCAAAAGATCCTGTCTCAACATCGAGATTTTTTGATATCAAATTTAAAGCAATGCTTGCCTTTATACGATATGTTCTGAAGATCATCCGATCGGAGAAGAAACTCATTATTTCTGGCGACGAGAATATCAAGGTAGAGGCATACAACATTTCCACTTGTTAATTTAGATTAAAAATGCACCGATTATAAGAGAATCTTCTACTGAAGAAGTTTCCACTTTTATTTTACAACATGTAAGCTGCAAAATGCCAAATCAAGACATTTCACCGTTGTTATATAAACGTGTTAATATGCATTAGATGCACAAACATAACGATTATTGTCTGCGTTCTAAGAAGAGAAGACGTAAAGTTGTACGTAGATGTCGGTTTGGATTTCCTCGTCCCGTCACTGAAACATTAACAATAAGAGATGTCGTAAGTTCGATATATAACAGGTAAAAAGCAAGTAAAACATAGAAGTAGTCTTTACGATCTTCCTCGTAGACAAAATAAAAGTGATATAAATGATTATAATCCTGTCCTTCTTACTGCTTGGGAAGGAAATATGGATATACAATTTATTGGCGAGAAATCAACATTACTTACATGGTACGTCACAAAGTATATGAATAAAGCGGGAAAATGTGAATTATCAGAATGCATTACCAATAGTACGATTAACCAAAACAATCACTGGAAAGTTATCTTTGGAATATTGCTTTGCGATTTACGCACAACAGAGAATATGCAGCTCTCGAAGCTGCTGATACGTTATTAGGTATTTCTTTATACGGAACTGATCGAAATACGACTATTAGATGGCTAAATGTTAATCAAATTAGATATAGAAAATTAAAGACTTGCAAAATAATTGAAAATTGTAATAAAGAATCTACGGACATATTTTGTCCGTCATTGATAGATACTTATTATCCAATAAGACCAAAAAATTAGAAGATGTATTTCTTTATAAATTTGCAAAGTGGTATGATATCACGAAGATTAAACCAAAAAGGAAGTATGTCGTATATTACAAAATAGATAACGGTCTATATCTTAAAGGACGGAAACGTGAATATCTTATAATTCATTATAAATACGATGTGAATACACAACCGGAGAATTATTTCTTTTCATTATTACTCATGTTTAAACCATGGCGAAAATTAGAAGATCTTAGAAACGGATGTGATAATTATACAGAATCATTTCACAAAATAAAATTACATCTTGTAGGAGCATTACAATATCATGAAAAAATAGAGGAATTGCAAAAAGCGTTTGAAACTGCGAAACAGTTGGTTCAGAAATATTTAGATGATAAATTAAACAAACAGAATATATCGCAAGATGATCCAGAAAATCCAATAGGTATTCAAAATATAAAAGCTGGTGAAGCAATGCAAGATTTCAAAGATCTTGGTGAGAAAATAGATAAAGATGTCGATGTATGTGATATGATAGCAAAATTAAATCTAGATCAAAAATGTGTGTTTGATAAAGTCGTTACAACTGTAAAATCGGATAATTCACCCTTACGATTATACGTTAGCGGAGACGGTGGTACAGGAAAAAGTTTCTTAATTAAAACTATTAAATGCTGGATAAAACAATATCTTAAGAAAGATACTGCCATAGCAGCTCCTGGCATTGCAGCGTTTAATGTTACCGGTTTGACAGTTTATAGACTACTTTAATTGCCTGTTGAACACGGTTTTATTCCTAAATGTAAACAATTATCTGATCATGTATTAAAAGTTTTACGAGCAGATCTCGAAGATGTTATTCTGATTATAATTGATGAAATGTCACTGATATCTAATTTGACTTTAATGTACATATATCTTCGATTGTGTCAAATATTTGACACTATTGATTCTGATGACGGTTGGTTTGGTGAAAAACACATTCTTCTATTTGGAGATTTGTTTCAATTACTTCCAGTAAACGATGATCCTGTTTTTGTGAGCTTATCAAAGGAAAAAATTGATAAATATCTTGGTTCATTGGAGGCCACTAATTTGTGGAGTAGATTGTTTGACTACGATGAATTAACAATCAATATGCGGCAGCAAGGAGATGAAACTTATCGCGAGTTACTATCGAGAATATGTATTGGATTAGTGACTCAGTGTGATTGTAAAATCCTTCAAACCAGAATACTATCGTTTAAAGGTGTATCTATGGAATGTAGATTGAACGAATTATGTAATTTTATTAGTGATTTTTCGACAGATACCGTATGTTTCCTACCTACTTGTCACATGTTTGACGTTTTTAATGCGGCAATGCTAAATCGAATTACTTCTGAAGAAATAGTATTAATTGCAGAAGATAAAATAAAGTGTCATCGCTTTGTGGAAAGAAAAGTTGTAAAAACATTGTCAAGTCATGAAGATAATACTTCAAGAACAGCTGGACTTGCAAAAAAAATTATTATTAAAATTGGAGCAAAAGTTATGATAAGACGTAACATTGATGCTAGCAAAGGACTTGTAAACGGTACAATAGGTAAAGTGATTTCCGTTGTTAAAGATGTATGGAATAATAATATAGAAAAAATAACTTTTCTTTTGCCGTCAGGTGAAGAATTTTTAATTGAGAGAGTATGTGCCAAATTTCCCATCATGGAAAGAATATATGTCATTAGAAAACAATTTCCATTGTGTCTGAGTTATGGAATCACTATTCACAAAAGCCAAGGATTGAGTTTGCAGAACGCTATTATGGATGTAGGTAATTCTGTATTTAGTGGTGGTCAAATTTATGTTGCATTGTCTCGAGTAACGTCTTTAGAAGGACTGAATTTAATTAATTATGATCCTTCATCTGCAAAAGCTAGTGAAGAAGCTATTATTGAGTACAATAGGTTAAAAAAATTACACAAACTTGAAGCAAAAATGATTCGTGTTTCAAAACAAAAAATTCGTAAGGTTAAAAATACTAATCGATGGATATCATCAAAAGTAATTAGTTCTGTACAAGAATCACAAGAACCACATCAAAATGTTCAAAAAAGTACGGGTTGGATTATTCGTGGTTTCCAAAACACCGATAAAGTTTCATCCTATGCACCTGCAATATTGCAATGTCTTTTGCACTTAAGTATAATTAGAAAAAAAATATTTAATTATGATAAAGAAAAAATTTTATTTGTATTAATGCATCAATATGAAAATGGAATACATATAGAATACGACAATATCTAGGAGATAACTTTTCAAATAATGTAAAACGTGATGAATCTGAATTTCTTTTAGCTGTTTGCGCAAAATTTGATTTTATAAAAACTGTAGTCGAACATGAAGTAACTTCCACTACACGGTGCAAAAATTGTGAATATACAAATACAGTTATATCCAATAATATTATAATCTCACTCCCTGTCATTAATTTAGAGAAAAAGAGTTATGATTTTAACGATTTATTAAGTGTTACCTTTCCTCATTAGTGTGAATCAATCAACGATTTATGTAACATTTGTAAAAAGAATGATAAGATATTTAAAAGAGAATTAACATGACAAAAGAAATACTTATCATTCAGTTTCTATTATTTTCAAAAGATGGTAAAGTAATATCAGCAAACAATCTAAATATACGTGCTGTACCAACGACTAAAGTGGCAATAAATGGACAGCTATACAAAGTAATGAATGCCGTATTTAATAATGGGCTGTGTATTGAAAATAATCATTATACACGTATGTGTAAAGAAGGAAACTCTAGCTGGCTTGGAATTGATACGCAAATTAAAACACACCATTGGCCAAAAAATCCTAAAAATGTTTATATTTTTTCCTTGGAAAAAATAAATAAATAAATGTGTTCCTATTGTTCAGAAAAAAAAATAAAATAAAGAAATAAAAAACAATTTGAATAACAAAATAAAAAAATTAGCGAATCATTTATCTCATATTATTATTGTACAAAAGAACCTGTGTACAAAATTTAGTTTACTGTATACAAAATTTTAAAAACCTAGTTTACAAAAGAAGTGATATCAAAAAGTAGCACCAAGTAGAGTTTTGTACGTTATTTTTTACATACTACTAAAACTTCTTTCTCTATAAAATATCTGTTTTACAAGATAAAGAATATGTGATATCTCGAAAAATTTACCTTTTCAAAAAAGGTAAAAAAGGCGCCAAGTACACACACAACACGTACTGTATTTAAATTGACTAAACTTAAAAATCTTATCTCAAACTGTTCTTCATTATTTATTTCAGTTTTGGATTATTTTAAACTTTACTATAAAAAAAATTTATTTTAGTTTACTGTATACAAAATACAATGTGTGACATCTCGAAAAATTTACTTTTTCAAAAAAAGGTAAGATCAGGCGCCAAGTACACGCACAACACGTATTGTATTTAAATAATAAATCAAAAATTAATTTTGTTATGTATACTACAAAACATTACAATACTACAAAACATTCGTTTTCTATAAAACCTGTTTTACACAATATACTACAAAATATTCTTTCTCTAAAACTCTGTTTTACAAAAGAAGTGATATCAAAAAGTAANACCAAGTAAACTTTTTTGTATACGTTTGTTTTACAATACATATTACAAAAACTCGTTTCTCTATCAAATCTGTTTTACAAAATTATATACTACTAAACATACTTTCTTTAAAAATCTGTTTTACAAAAAAAGTAATATCAAAAAATAGCACCAAGTAAACTTTTGTACGTTACATTTTTAATATAGAAAAAACAATCTGCAGAGAANTGCAGAATAATGCGAATATAGTCTCGCAAAAGACGACTTCTACGCATTCAGCGATCTTGCAAACCAAGACCTCTGCATATTTTATTGAGACTGTGTCCGATTGAGACTGTCCGATTGCGTCTGTGTCCGATGGGACTGTGTCCGATTGCGACTGTGTCCGATTGAGACTGTCATGCGTCCGTTTCAACTCGTGTCCGAGTAAAACTGTGTTTGATTGAGTCCGTCGTGTGTCCGTTTCTTATTATGTCCGATAGAGTCTGCATCTCTTCCAAGAACTCGTCAACTGAGCGCGCTCTTAACGAAGTCGCCGTTCCTTTTAATGAGCGGCTGTTGATTCCATTTATCAACAGATGCAGAGCAACGTGGAAAAGTATTTTTTTCTTGAACCTCCTGTTTATGGCATCTTTGAAGCCCGTCCACGACTCCAACATCGCACCTGTGCCATGGTCGAACCATCTTTTAGCCGCACCCGTCAACTTATTTGACGCGGCTAGGTAGATCACGCCTTGTGGAGCTGCATGGATATCTGTCATTTTTTCAATACGTTGAAACCACATCTCCACATTATCGGTTTCTGAGCCGGCAAACTCCGGAATTTGCGATGCAAGCAAACTCACCGCTTGTGCAGACGATACCGATGATAATGAAAGTTGCGTCTGAGAATTTGATGCGCTTCTTTGACTCTCAACGCTGATTAACAGAGACCGTTCCTCCTGTGGCACTGCCTCCACCCTGGGCTGACGGCCTGCCACTCCACTGTTTGAATCACGCATAGTCGCCAAGATCTGCGTTAGCACTTGCTGTTGCTGTTGCATCTGCAGCGCGAGCGTGGCACATATCTGCTGCAACGAGGCCGCGCCGTCGGAACCGTCTGCCGACGAAGAGCTACCAGTCGTCCTCGTGCCCGTCGCTGAGGCTGTCCTCGCCTCTCCTTGCGATGCACTGGACGCACCCCCGGTCACCGCTCTACGCTCCATCAATGTCATAATCGCATCAATTATGTACCTGCGATCATCTGACACCGGAGCGCCTAGGCGACGCGCCTCCTCTTTTAGCTGCGCCAAAGAGAGAGTCTCCAATTCGTGTCGATCCATTTTTAATTGCCGTCGTGCGATCGATCGTGTTACCGGCATACACTTAAAATATGCCCTGCTTCAGCAACGATTATCAACACTACAATGAAACGGTACTGCGCGACACGAAACCGAAATATCGCGGATGCCAACAAATTTATAATCACTGAGTTCTTGCCAAGTCTNAATTTCTAAGTTNACTTTGAACAAAAGAAGTAAACCCGTTCATCTAATCCCACTTCTGAGATAAATAGACTGTAAGGAATGACCGGGATCGAGTAAATAAATGTAACAGTTAATCTTTTAAGTAACACTGAAATAAAGTTTATTCACACGAAAAGTATAAAGTAACTTAAGAAAAAGACAAGAGTTTAGACAAAGCTCGATTTCGGAAACGATCTCCTTTCGAAAAACAGGCGATAAAGCTAACTTCTTAACAGCTGGTTTCTCGGAAATGCTCTGTGAAGAAAAACGTTATCGCTCTCCAGGAAGGCTCGCACGTGAGCGCTGTATCCTGCTCTCACAGATACCTGTCGAAAAGCGATTGGGCCACGCGATCATCGGTTAACAAACATGTTTATAAACGCGGCTCACGCGACCCCAAGATCAGCTGTATTTTGAAAAACACAGCTAGATAATCTTACAGCTCACTATTAGGCGTACGGCTCACTAACGTGTGCCCGACTAAACCACGGCGCTGATTTACCTGATTTACTCAATACTTACTTCTTTATTACATGTAATAGAAAAAAATAATTCAGGACTTTTTAACTCAGTTTTTAACGAAAAATAACGCTATGTACTTAGTAGGCGGTCTTTCGTTGACATCTTGTATGTATATGTAAATTATATTGTACGTTACATGCAAATTCATAACGATTATACCGACCGTAAACATATTTGTCAGTCAACAAGCGCGAACCGTTATACTATATGTATGATAAAAATTTACAGATATTTATTAGTCTGTGCAAATTAAATACATAGCTTCGACAGATTTTTTATTTAACAATAACAATTATTCAAGAGTATTATTCTTTTTATTTTTTCTCAATACATATGCTTTTTTATATATTTTATATTATATATTTATATATATATATATATATATTAATATTAAAATACTAATACTTAAAAACAACAATAATAGTAAAAACAACAATACTTACATCAATCTCGTTACTTTGTTCGTTTATCATTTTAATAATAAAACTTCCACTATTATTAACTGTCACTTTGGCTGCGGTCCATTTTATGCTTAAGCGCACATTTATCTATAGTATACGTGACATATACTATAGATAAATGCGCGATTAAGCATGAAACGGACCGCAGCCTTTAACTGCCACGTGCTTTTCGTTATTACGTATACACTGATTATTACGTATACACTGATGATTGCGTATGCATCAGTACATACACTCACATATATTATGCTAAACATGCTGCTGCGTTCCGATATTCACTGCCAGTGCTACAAATCTATATTTCATGTCACATGTGCTATAGATTTCCAGTGCTGGCAGTGAATATCGAAACGCAGCTTTCGTCTAGAAGCAGTAATACCACACTCGGTAGCACCAGAGAGAAGCCTGAGAGCGGCCACGGCCATAAGAGTTTCTGTCATAGCAGAGAGAAGCCTGAGAGCGGCCACGGCCATAAGAGTTTCTGTCATAGCAAAATCGCCCCGTACACTAGCGAATGTCCACGGGTGGTGCACATTGGAACTACGCAGACATGTCCACGAGCGACTTGTCGATACGTATGGCTAT